AAAAATGCGCTCAATGCGTTATTATATACTGTTTGAGGGTTTGGGTGGTACCATTTTGAGTCTAATAAAGTACCTCACACGCTGATTATTTTGCGATGAAAATCTTTCCTGTGAACACTTATCTCGAGTCAGACGTTGTATGCCAGAAAATCCCGCGAACAAGGTGCTATTTTCTATGAGAAAAAAATACAATATATTGCCTGGCAATGTTCAACTTTATTTACTACATCAAAACATGTACATTAAGTCATTCAAGTAACTACTGATTGAATGAAGTATTTTGGCGAAGTACAGTATCCAATGAATTTAAGCGAATATGTAATTCACTATGTCATCGCTGAGTTCCTGTAGCATTTCCAATATTTATAACTAAACAACTTTGTCTTCGATGTACCATTTCTATTGGGAGGGTAATAATGTCTTCTGAGTACACATCCGAAGTGTAACTACGTCATATTATGCCTGCAAAAAAAATAATATAAACACTTTGAAGGCTCCCCCGCTCTCAGTGACATGGTCTACAAACAATTGTTTCTTTGCATATTTTATGTACTTATTATGCAGATTTCTTCAGACATGTTTTTATACTTAAGTTGAACCTCGCCGTAAACCAGCATAGCCTGATTACATAACAAATTCCAAATAGAAAATTATTCTCGTTTCCTATGAAAACATGTATTCTGTTATTTATTCATAATTTTTATTCTATTGTATTTTTGTTTAATTTATGATATTCTACATTTTTTCATTTGCAATATATACATTGTTCTATTGTAAGCATACATGTACAGTTTGACATTGTTATTCATACCATTATTTAATTGTTTTGATTATGACTTAAAGAGCTCAATTAGTTTTTCTAAAAATTAGTGTTTTTTAATATTTTTGTATGTATTATTCGCTTCTGGTAAAATAAAACGGGGACGTATGTATTTTGAGATAGAAATGAGTCGAAATCGTACATCCTGTTATTCATGTAAATTTTGATAACTGTGTATAAATAGACCCAACTGACTAAATAGTAAATAGTAAACATATGAATGTCACGTACAAACTATTAAAGAAAAGAATCGAAAAACTGACTCACGTTTGCCTCATGCATAAATGCCAAATAAAATAAATAATGCAACAATATCACGTATTTAAGGAACTATATTTAAAGTATTCAATGATGGATTTAGTTCATATATGCACAAGAAAAACGGTTCGCCGGAGCTGTTAAACTGTAACACACTCGAGAGATGGAGGGCACGTGTCACAATACGTACGCATGCAGTCAGATATACTGCTTCATTGTACATTTTTAGAAAGGGATACTCACTAATAATGGTAGTCTTGGGTGTCCACCTATTTAGATGAAAAGATACGAAAGAGATTGTTAACAACTTGAATCGCAAATGTAATTTGTCTAACTCATCTAAGTTATGTTGTGTACATGTCGTATTGTGAATATCTGTGTGAAATGCACAATGTGATTATTATTACAAATCAGGAAAAAAAACCGTAATAGATTCACATAGACAATTAGCAACTTGATTATTGTTATAACATCAACAATCATATAGATGAACTTACAATAATAGGTGACGACCAGATGTTTGGCTCTATCGTCCGGACAGGGATTACCATACACACTCATGACGGTGTTTTTACGACATGACGTTTTGCCCTCGCATATCCCTTGTACTATCTCCTTGACGTCTTCCACACACGGTGATTCCGCATCAACTTCGTTACCACACACGTCAAGAAGACCTCCCCATCCGTAATATGCTGCGAGAATGCGAATTTCGCCAGAGTCGCAGGATAGTTCCATCATTTCTTTTTGGCATGTTACACTTCTCTTGACGTACGCATATACTTCTCGAGCATTCCACCCTTCACACTCGTCTTTAACACCGTAAATGTCATATTCATCACCCGCGTCGTCACCAGAGAAACATTTTGCCGGCGTGCTATCTATTGCAGGCCTTATTCCGAATACATCATAATGCACAGCAAGGTCTGCACACATTTCTAAAATTGACGAGCATTCGCCATTTAGTTCGCCCATTGCTTCAGGAAGAGCCCTGCCGTCCCCTATTTGTACATCACGGAAACATCCAAGACGAATTAAATCACCTTCTGTCTCGGAATCTTCATCATCATCATCACCTCCATTTCCTGAAAAGAGAACTTGGCATGATTATAATAACACATAGTATTATATATGGGAATTGTTAATTATTTGCAACACGTACTGTTGCCCTGTTGATGTGGGCCACATGCGACATATGGAACTCGTGTAAAATACATTGTTCACTTGAACGAATGTGAACGATTGATTCACGACAAACATGATGTGTCAAATGAGTCAGAATAGGATGTTATATAATTAACCTCGATATTATTGTTGTCCTTGTTCAAATGTTCAATACAGTATATGTCTGATTAAAGTAATTATGAATCACGAGGACATCATGGGTGGCAACTAATTCCATTGAATACCAATGAACAAAATTAACTTATCAGCCCTGCACAAAAAGATCGACAAATAAAAATGGAATGGAAGGTGTACCTAGATCCAATGGCGGAAGATTACGGTGACCACCTGAAATGAATAGAACATGTTCAGTCAAAAATTTGTACTATAGCCAATACATATAAGGTTGATTTATTGAGAGCGTTAAAAGGTATACAAAAATAAAACAACCTAGATTAATATGTCTGACAAACTTACAGTAATAACGAATGTCAAGGTGTTTTGGTTGGTGGTTGCAGGGATCACCAAACACACTGAAAACGGTGTTCTTCGTGCAATAGGTCTCGCCGTCGCATAACTTCTTCAGTATATTCGTGACGTCAGATTGGCAAGTTTCCCCCTCTTCAGCATCATCACCACACACTCCAGCCCCGTTGCGTCCATAGAATCCATCGACAATCTGAATAGTGCCACCATTATTGCAGAAGATTTCGAACATCTCTTTTTGGCATGACGTGGTCTTATACACATTGGCAAACACATCTCGAGCATTGGAACTACACGGTGCCTCTGCATCATAGTCGCAGTTATTCGAATACCCAAACATGTCATACGTATCAGCGGCAGTGTCACCAGAAAAGCATTTATCATCTCTTTTAAACCCGAAGACATCGTGGCCATGATTTATAACCGTGTTTCTGCACTGAATAAATCTTTCGTAAATGCATCCACCCAAACTTCCGTGATGCACTGGCAGTGCAAGAACAGGGTTACGGGACTCCCTAAAGCAACCCAGATACTGTATTTCATCTGAAAAAGGTAAGAATAATTCTGGTGTAATTTATCGCATATATTGATATCAATCATTTGATTGATAAAAACTGAATTCCAGTGTATGCATTACTTTTCTTCGTGACTAGACAACATCTATTAAAGTGGCATAGTAAGTGCTGGTATTGATGGATTAACACTTACAGGAACTAATTAATACTGAATAGTTTATAGCTTAGTTCCACACTCACCACACATAGCCATAGCAGGTTTTGATTCATATCTCGATTAATAATTACAAGTCTAACAGTCTGATTACCGAACAGTCAAGCAATAGTATACTAAATGACGTGTTAGTTGGATAATACACTCTATTGCATAAATTTATGCCATTCAAATTACGATTTTCAACACTATTTATTTTCATTACAACATACAACCAATTGGACTTCCCATAGTTAATGTACACGCTCGAAAAGCAACGGGTATTTTACACACAGGAGGAATTAGTGCAGTAGCCAATAGCTTTTTTAAAATTGAAAATCAATTAGTAAATATTATTAACTCACCACGGAAAGTTTGAAAAGTGAAACTGATTTAAATACATTCGCAGTGGAGGTGATGCAAAAAGGTGACAATGAAGTGTACACCAAATGAAATCCGTAATTTGAAATGTTTGGTTAAATATAATTATATCATTTTTACAATAATATAAAAGAGTTTGGTGATGGTAGTGTAAAACATATAGTTTGGGTTAATTAATATGAACGAACACGTGATTCATTCAAAATACTTGGGATTTAACAACCTGACATTTATTTTCCCATTTCAGATTTAGGTAACATATTCTGTTGCAAGTTTGTCAAGATTGTTCAGTATATTGATAGACCAAAATTGACTTCGTGACACAGACACCCTCTAAGGTGGAAGCCAACTTTATTTTCTGAAAGTCACAAATTGCGTCACAAAGTTCATTGATTTACCATGTACAACAACTAGCCTCTAATTTTTCCACTAGCTTCCCATTAGAGATATAACTCCAGCATATACAAATGAAAAAAAGTGTTCATAAATTCCTTTTCGGGATCAAGATAACAACACTTTGGTTGAACGTATTGTTGTTCCTCGAGCTGTCATCGTAGCTGTCATCTTTGTCCGCAGTCGATTTTCAAAATAGTATCATATATAATCGAAAGAACTGCTCTATTGTGAATCAACAAAATATTACGCGTCTGCGCATAACAATAAATGATATCATAACATGTGTATTTGAATGATTCCAAACGAAACACGTGGAACAAATCGGCGCTTAAGGGAATGTCACTGAATCATCGAATTACACATTCAAATGCAATAGATTATGGCAATTCGATTGTTGCGTCGCATATTATATATAGTCTATGATAGAGATAAAATTATAGTCCATTTGGAGTTAGAGTTAGAGTTGATATTTTAGGGAACTGATTATTCTCAGTTCACGAACATTCACGGTATCCCATTGACCACAGTTCGTCGTCAAGTCTCAATCAAGAGTTTCAATCATATAATCGAAAGGCACATTTCACACTCACATTGCATACATCACTGTATTTTCAGAGAACGTTTTTGTTCGTTGATTTATTTCACCAGCCAATATCAGGGGCGTTTTGAAGCGTGTCATGCTTGATTCCAGATAAATCTTATACCACCTTATACATTTCAATCAACATCTTAACTAATAACAACTGAATCATAAAGCAATTTAATCATTAATTTCCTGTTTCAAACTCGAAGATTCAGACACTGGGATATGTTGGGGGGAAGTTTTAACTTACCGTCAATGTAGTATATATTGACATATATTATGACTATAGTTTCTTACCGTCGACTTCGTGCTCTGGATATATAGAAACTGGGTCACACAGTGCCGGTACTGCAAGCAGTAAAATCATTATCACAGAAGCCATATCTGCAGAGGAAAATAGGTACACAGTTACTACATTAAATCAATCCTGTCTCATTTGAAAGACTAGCTTCTGATATTTATTTATTTTGATTGCCTGTTTGGCACGGTAAATCTGCTTAACAGAACTACCAGATTTTGTGCGATCGTGTTTTAATGTGTATGACATTTATTTGAACCGAATAAAAAAAAGAACACGGTCCGCGTCTTCGTAGAAACCATATTTGGACAATTATCAATACTTAAATATCAACTATTCATGTTTTAAAAAGTGAATTGATTTAGTTATCATCATAGAACCTGAACCACAATTTACACAATTTAAAAAACATATTCGCGTATTACCATGTCACATACGTTGTACGATGAAAGGATGAACTTGCAGGAAAGGTAAACTCGATCGCAAACATTAAATGTAATACTTACTTTCTATATTCCTATGCAGGTGATACAAGTTGGATGAGTGACTAACAACTGTTGAGCTTCCGCTTTTTAAGCACAATTTTGCGAACAAAATTGAATATTCATGACAGTGGGTGGGTGACGGGTATTCTATTATTTACAAGGGTGGAATTGGATGGACATGTCGAACATGTTCCTCTTCCTCCATCGTCCCTCCCTCCCTTTGTATAAACCTTCTTTTTATTTACGTCCAGCCGTCATCCCTCCACCTGATAATATAATCACCCTTTTTGGTGACTTATTAGCCAATCATATCGCGGAAACGCATT